ATCGACATTGCCGTTTAGAATGCATGCTCCGCTGCATATCAAATCAAGTGCTTCCTAAACTTACAGCCAAGGGGCATATTTTGGCTGTGCGTGCACATCCTGCTGCTACAATCCAGAGTAGACAGCAAAGTCCACGAGTCCATATGTGTCCGCTGCCCCACGGCTGCCAGAGCTAGTCGCGGCCCTTCTAGTCAATGTTTGGGAATCCATCAGACGCAGCGCGTCCTTGAAGCGTGCCAGATGCAGCTCTTGCCTCCAATCCGTGAAGAATACAGAAGTCTATTTTTGATGGAAGCCACGTCAAGCTGCAGGGAACAGATCGAACTGGGCCGGAAGTCAGACACAGAGCGGCATACAGAATCTGGTAAATTTTCAAAATAAAACATCCTGTGCAAATTCCGATCATAAATCAAAAAAACACAGTTAAAACAGACAAAAAATTTATCTACATTGCCTTAATCTAGTGTTTCCCCTATATGAATTCACCAGTGGCACACTGCCGCTGCTGAACGCATATCATGACCGCCGCTACTAAAATTTCCCACGATAATTAAACTATGCGCTACAAATATTTTTACTCGCACACTGTTCGAGCATGGCAACACTAAATGCTTGGCTAGCTTCCTCTCATCGTTCTATATAAAACATCTGCGTGACAGATGCTGTTAACAGCGTAACTCCTGTAAGGAATGAGGGTTTGATTGTCTGAGCGGCAGAAAGTCACGGTGAACGCAAGCGGGGGAAATATTCTGGCAGTAAATGTAGGGTGTCTGTTACAGTGCGTTAGCTTTTCAAGACCAAGAAAAGTCTGTTGTTTCCCCACCTGCTGGAAAAGTGAAGCCGATTAACGCTAAGTTAGCTATCATCCTCCCTCCCCTTCAGACTGCGCAGATGAGCAGGGAAGCTCAGGCTGCGTCTTTTGGCTGCTATGTAACATTAGCTCAATAGAAAGTAACAGGTACCTGTATTTTATTACTGCCTACTTGTCCAATGTTGAGAACATCAGTTACAATCTGAGAGTAAACTGGTGTAGTCTGCAGCTCTGTCCTGTACAGACTGGTTCAATTATTTTCAGATGAGTCTGAAAAAGGTTGTTAAGAAAAGAAAGGACGGAAGTGACTGGAGGAGCCGAGGTTAGTAAAGCAAATTAGTGATGCAAACTAGTCCGTTTAAGCTAATGAGGAATGCTTCTTTTTGGATTTTAATGTGCAAATAAAATCACCTCATGTGATGTGAAATTACATATTTGTCATTCGAAAATGTAAGATTTTCTTGGGGGAGGACCCCCAAACCCTCCTCCACCGTGACAATGACCACCAGCACCAAAACATTCAGCTAAAGCTCACATTAAATTGGGGAAACACTGAAGTTTTAAACTATTCTCATGTGCATCGCATGCTCATGGACACAAGAGCAATACTGCTGAGACATACTGTGTTGGGGTTTTATATTCAAACAAAAATTTTGCTTTACCTCCGCTGCTATAACTCCATACTAGGGGAAACGCTGTAATCATAGCAAAAGCACAAAAATCAAGCACTGATTACCAAATCAACAAAATCTAAACATGTCAGCAAAATCATGCAAATGAATGCGTTGCAAATCAATGCTTTGATTCTGAAATGCTCCCTATGGCACATGCAGCCTGCAGACAACCAAACAAAATCGGGTCGTCGAGAGCCGTTGCTGGTAAGCAGAGTAGAAGCTATAGGTAGAAGCACTAACTAACTAACTAAGACAATAACAACAAGCCAGCAATGTGCTCAGCTGAGATGCTTCCAGAGGAAGATAAAGCTGTGCAGAGGATGGGAGAAAACCATGGCGCAGCAGCAGCTGGACTAAGTCGACTTTCCGGGTAAAAATGTTATTCATATTTTGCTTCGAGGAGATGATGCATTTTAAGACCAGTCTTATTTTGATGCAAAGATTTGTACATTAGCAGAAATGCAGCATAACACAGATGTGAAAGCAGTTGCCTGTTTATTTAAATTTTAAAGTCCAATAAAAATACCATATAACCATAATTGTGCAGCCCTATGTGGTATAGAGCAAAGTATTCTGAACCATCTGTAGGGGTTTCACCGCACAAGCTGGAAAACTTGCCAGAAACAAAAGTCTGAAAGACTCCCTATGGGTGATGACCACGTGCTTCCTCCAGAATTTCAGCCCTATTCAATTTCTGTGGATGCTGCCCGCCTCTGTGCCTGGTATGGCTACCCTTGACACTGAGAAACAGGCAGCCATGCTTGCTGGAATGAAACCGCTTCAATCTTAAAGTATAGTGCCAGTCCACGATGAAAGCTGCAAGACAGCAGATGGAGCCACCTGTCAGACAAAACATGTCAACCGTTTCAGTGACGAGGTGATGCTTGTTTCAGGGTTTACGGTTTCTGTGGAATAGCAGACATTTGTCTCTATTTCAGGCACAAATGTTCAGCACACTGAAAGTACAAACCATAAATGTGACAGAATGACCAGAACAACAAAATGAGTTTTGTTCCTGTATGCTGTTGAAACCCTGCTTGTGTATCATTTGTTTTCACAATTGTGTTGTACGCTTAAAAAGGAACAGAGTTAGGCCTATATATTGGGAAATACTAAGCACAAAAACTGGGAGCAACTTTCTCATTTACACTTGCGATGGAGCAACGCTCATAGTTTACAGCCTGTTTAACTTCCTGAACCTTTCAACACTGAATGCAGAAAGATGAAACTGATATCAATCTTCAATCACATCTAAATCTAGAAAAAAAACTGCAAACAAATATATTTCCCAAAATGTCATACTGTTGTTTATGTGTTACTGTACATACAGGCAATGAACAATGACAGGCGGCTGCAGAACACAGTCAGTCAAATTCTCCTGCTCAGCTTTCCTGATATGCTTAATAGTACTTTAAGCTCCAATCTTATTATTTTCAGTTTAACTGCAGAGCATTGCGGTACTGACTATAAAAGAAAGAAACGCCATCGCTTACGGACATAAAAGCCAAACTCCCTGAAGCTTCTCTCATAAAAGTGAAAGTGTCTACCTTGATAATATCTTCCGGTAGCAAACTTTTCCTGAGGGCAGTAGAAAAGTAAACAGCAGCTGTTAGAAAACTGGGGTTTTATCTCCTGTGGACTCAGTGGATGATGGTTCATTTGACTTTTTATAAAGGAAATGTCACATAAAAATGACACTTTCCCTGGCCAAAGGGGAGCATATCTCAGTGCACGCTGTTGGGGAGTGCACACTGTCGAGGAGCTCGAGACTTAATTCATGGAAAATGGAAATCCCTTTTCATTTTTTTATCCACGGCCTCTGGAGTGATCACTGTCAATTTCACTGGTTAATACTGCTCCCTAGATTATCTCAATACAATTTATGTTTGTTAGAAACAGCCTCATATAAACTGACCCCATATTCCTAAAACTGGTTTTGTATGCAGCAGTGTTCTTGCCTTGTCAGCAGCTCTCTTGTTGCAGACGCTGTACCCGCCTATTCTAAACAAGCCGTGGTGCAGCCACTCCTTAAAAAAAAACTCTTCACCTGAGAGTTTTATCACATGTTTTGGGAAGGAAAGCCATCGAGAGTACACTTGCACAGTAGAGTTCAACCCTGTAATTGCAGGGACCCTTGCTGCATGTATTCAAGCAGGCTAAACACGCTGCTTCTGGTATTTTCTAAGCTTCAAAGAGAGCAATAGGACAACATGGAAAGAGTAACCATAACCATATTTTAGTAATAATGTGACTTGTTTGGAACATACTGAGCATGCCAATGTGTAAGATGAGTTCTTAATGGGGTTTGCAGTAGGAACACTTTTCTTACAGTGTGTCATTTGAACAGTGGAAGGCTGCAGCTCCGATTTTATATATGATTCTGTCTAAAAATAGAACTAATCTTAGTCATTCTTGCATGCAGGAGTGACTCATGACAGCTTGCCCATCTAGCAAACATAATGGGTTCTTCCTCAATCCCACAAACTGTACATCAGTATTCACTCAGTATGGAGACTATCGTGGCATTTAGCAACATTGAGGTATGCTCACTACTTACTTAGCTGACCTCTGCCATTTCATTTGGGTAATAAAATGGATTTTAAAAATAGTTAATTTAAACTGGCCCAATCAAGAGCTTATAAATCAAACTGAGTCGAGCTATGTAACAAACACATCTTGGTGATGCTCCGATGCAATGTGGAGTTTAACTTTATGCAGCATCACCCACCTGCACACAACTGTATGCACTCCATGATTTGTGCAGACAGAGATATTCCCTGCATCTCTGACTATGGCTCGGACTTGCTGATCAGTGATGAATTATGTATACAGACAAGCACCTGATGGTGCACAATACTGACATATGATAGAATAAGATATTGATCTTTGTGCTGGACACACTGTAAGGTAGGCTGCACAGTATAGCAATTTTAGATGGCTCTTGGAATTGTGTAAGGCAAGGTAAGTCTCAACTTAAAGTTTAAAAGTATATTTAGAAGCCTAATCATGGCCTCTTTCTCCAAATGGGTGCCTGAACAGCGTCCTCAGAGGAGTAACTGAATGAGCACTGCTTCATACACACTGTGCAAGGCTCAGGTCATGTACAAATGTTTAGACTATTTAAATCCCTGTAGAGCTAGGTAATGTACTTAAATAATGTATTTGTTGAAATGTAAATTGAGAATGAAAATTAACTTACAGGACGCAGAAAAATAGAGCAGATAGTGAAAGACAGACAGACGGGGGCAAAAAGACCGATGCCTGTCACAGTCATAAAAACGTTCATTAGTAGTTGAACAAGTAGTTGGAAATAGACATTCATTTTTGAACAGTGCCCTCAAATGAGTGAAGTTAGATATTCAAATGGTTGAACGTTACCAAAGTAACTTACCCTGGGTGTGCTCAAAAAGCAGGAAACCAGTTTATCAGCCACATCACGGCAGAATTAGTTGTTCGGGGGTGTAACTTAGCAAACCTACGACGAATTCAGTTAATTAGCTAAAGGATTCATTTACCTGGTGCAGAAATGGAACCGGACGAGCAGTTTTGAGACCACCGTGAAGGAGCTGAATACTTCCCAAAAGTCCCCCCGTAACTTTGCCGACCATCCGAACCGAAGCCATTGTCAGCCGTTAACCGTGTTAGCTGTGCTGTTGGGGCATACCGGGTAGAGCCACTTCCACAATATGTGCTTCGGAGCCCGGTTTACCAGTTGAAAACAGGGTGTTGTCTATGCAAGCAACAACAGACGAGAGGACAGCTACGGGACACTTGGAGGCACGACAAAGCCTGAGCTGCGTACCTTCTGACAACCGTACCAGACTCCCCTTCCTTTTTTCGCCTTTTTTCTCTCGTTGGTCTGTGATGCATGAATTAGCCAGCAGGGAGGCTGGAGCAGCTGAACGTTACGTGCCGTCCCAGCCCAAGTGAACGTTACGTAGCTGACACTGTCTCCAAAGCGCCACACACCCTGACCATGGCAGTGAATGTTTAGCCAAAGGCAGAGCCGGCCCTACACCTTTGGGGGGCCCAAATCAAAATTTATTTTGAGGCCCCTCTGACTGACCTGCGTTCTCATTACATATGGCACAGAAGCAACATCTCTTTTTTAAGTAAACCACTGCCTTTTATTCAATCAAAGTAAAGACTTTTGAATATTATGTTACACTACAATTACTTTTACTTACCTGTTTTAACCTGTTTTTATTGTCTATTTAACTGTGACAATGTCTTATTTCCCTGTTACCGTTATGTTTTATGTAAAGCACATTGAAATCCCTTGTTGTTGAAATGTGCTATGAAGATAAATTTGCCTTGCCAATTGTTTAGCACCAAAACACCAAATTAATTTTATGTGTGTAAATCTACTTGGCTGTTGACTGTGATAGAAAAAAACAATGCCTAGACTATACATTTTACAATGTTTGATTTGACAGGGAAATATTACACCACCAGTGCTACTAAGCTGAATGGCAGTGCAAGACCCAGTAGACACTGATGAAGTGCTGAATAAAAAGTCTGATGAAGTGATTATCACTGACCAAAGATACATCTTTAATAACAGCCAAACAAGAGTTTAAGAGACAAAAACTACAAAACAGTAGACATCATAATTTTTTAAAATATGAATTAAAGTTATGAATGATCTAAACATTTAATAATAGTGAAGAATTTGATTGTCTAAGTGTTTTCAACCTCTCTGGGTAGCGACTGTAACTATTACAAGTGCCCCAGGAACAGCGTTTGACCATATTTTAGAAAAATATAGCCAAAAAAAGCTAGAAAATTATTCTTTTTACATTAAAGTCAATGGAGCGCATCCATGAAAGTGTCGGACCTCAGTTAGAGCGAGTCCTATACTGTGATTGGCCAGCTGAGTATTCGGGGCTTGGCTTAGCGAAGGGTCAATTGATCCAGCTGACTGCCCATCAGTCCTTAAATTACACCTTGGTCTGGTGAGCAGCATGTCAGGTAGACAAAGACTTCACATTTCCAAAAAGACACTTAGACAATCAAATTCTTCACTATTATTAAATGTTTAGATTGTATGTATAGTCTAGGTATGTTTTCTTCTTTTTCTGGAGCGCATCTATGAAAGTGTCGGACCTCAGTTAGAGTGAGTCTCATACTGCGCTGTGATTGGCCAGTTGTGTATTCGGGGCGTGGCTTAGCGAAGGGTCAATTGGAGGAGAAGAAATTTGAGAGCCAGGTGTGGTGGTAAGCATATGATACTGCTCTCCACTTCAATAGGCACAGTAAGACCTATGGGGAAGATTAACACAGAAAATAATTAATGTTAGTAAGTTGACATGTTCATACGTTGGGTGTTTCTAGCAGTGAATAGCCTAATTGTTCATTTATTGTTGATTTAGGCCTTATCTTACCAGCATTGTCAGCTTCTTGGATGATACCAAAGATGAAGGTGGAGGTAGAGGTTAATGGACCTGCTATGAAATACTTAATTAATTAAGGTTGCTTATTGGCTCATCCGACTCTGGCCAAGGTGTGCTAATCGGTGTAACTTGTTTTTGAAAAGTGCTCTACAAATAAGGATTATATTATATTATTATTATAACAGCAGCTGGTGTGTTGTGTTATTTGGCTGGGATCCCTTTCAACTCGCTTATTAGCATGTGCATAAGTACCACCAACTATAAAGTAAATACTCACGCACTAGACAGGTTGTTTAAGAAAATGAGGCTTGGGGTTGTCCAGACTCAAAGCCCTTGACCTGTTGTGCCAATTAGCCTTTAATCTAGGAAGGTTTGCTATCTTGAAACATGAAACAAGAAAAGTAAATGTGTGAGCACTGAGCTATAGTGTCTAACCTTTTTATATACAGTCTATGTGTTTAACAAAGAAACAAAATGTGTTAGAATATGTATTAACTATTGTAATACAGTTTCCAGCCATCAGTGGAGCACTGAGCAGCCCTCCAATGAGCGGGGGAAGATGCGTTTGAGATGACTACGGCTGACTTTCGCTGACTTGATAGTAGTAGACGTACCTTTACCTCCATCACGTAAGTGCATCACTTGAATTTTTACAAACATTTGCTAAAAAGTTTACGTGTCTTTCGTTGTGTTTGCACTTTTCGTATTCGTTAAATAAGCAACTTATGGAATGTAACCAAACTGGTGCTTCATAAGCATTGTAGGTAAATTACTTGTAAAATGTAACAAGTTACC